CAGCCCACCCAGCAATCCCCGTCACCGTCTCAGTCCCCGTCGGAATCTTCCACCCCCTCCGCCTCTTCTGATGACGACGACAACCCTGAGTCCTCCTCGGTGGAGACCACTTCTCCATCGCCGATACTTCCATCCCTTCCGCCTCGCACACGTCGTCGTCCGTCCCACCTAAACGACTATGTTCTCAATTCTGCAAAGACTGTCACTTCGGCTCCGGTCTCCTCCTGTTCCTCACAATCTGGTACTCGGTTCCCTATTACTAACTTTGTTCATTATTCTAAGTTGCATGACAGGTATAAGGGTTTTCTTGGAGCTATTGATGCCACCTCAGTTCCCCATAATTTCCGTGAGGCTGTTCAGTTTGCTTCTTGGCGTGAGGCTATGGCTACTGAGTACTTGGCTCTGGAGCGTAATCATACTTGGGATGTTGTAGATCTTCCTCCTAATCGTCGAGCCCTTGGTTGTCAGTGGGTATACAAGACCAAATTTCGGTCTGATGGTACTAAGGAGCGTGATAAGGCTCGCCTTGTTGTTTTAGACAATCATCAAGAACTTGGTGTTGATTATACTGACACTTTTGCTCCTGTTGCCAAACTTGCTACTGTACGTGTTTTGTTGTCTGTTGCAGTGGCTCGTGGTTGGCAGGTTGATCAGTTGGATGTTAATAATGCCTTCCTGCATGGTGATTTACAGGATGAGATTTATATGAAACTACCCCCTGGCTATGCTCATCTTTTTCCAGGGAAAGTTTGTCATCTTCGAAAGTCCTTATACGGGCTTCGTCCGTCCTTATACGGGCTTCGTCATAAGTAACACCACCCCTGTAAAAAGTTTCCACGTGTTTGTTTTGGAATTGTGATTATATAATACTCCATCCGTCCCAAAAAATTCTTCACATTCCAAAAAAATGGTGTCGCACAATCTCTTTCTCATTTCTATTAAAAAACCATTTTTACTCCTTACTTTTTCATTCCATACTTATCACATCGTACTTTTTTCTTAATAATTTACACATCACATCCTACTTTTACGCATCACGTCAAGGGTATTTTTGGAAAGTCAACACAAAATTATCTCTCCCTTATTTTGCCACTTTAGTCAAATGTCCCTCTCTTTATGGGACGAAGAGAGTACATATAATCGCACTAAGGTTATCTGCATCACTTCACATCGTTCATTCCAAATCAGCAGCAACTCAACACCTCATCAGTGTTGATTTTACTCACTATCTCACTCATTGCTCATCATAGTGCCTCATTTTCACTGCAATGGTTATATTTTTGTATTCAATATTTACATATTTCTATACAAATTAAAGTGTATATATATTTTATAAAATAATAAAATAATCATTTTTTATGTTTTCGGATTTATAATTATTCATTTTTCTTTTGGTTTTATTATTTCTTTCGTTCAGGATGTTTTCGTATGTCAAACGCCGCCTAAGGGCTTGTTCTCTCCAACTTATCTGATTAAGTCTAATTTGATTTGATTAAGTTCTGATCTAATTTGTTTGTAGTTATATTTAAACGTATTTCTGTTTTGATCTAATCTGATCTCAACAAAAATAAATAATAAGTGAAAAAATAAGTTAAAAACAAGCTTTAAATGTTGAGACTTGGTGACTTTAATACAGAGTAATATGTTATAGAGTAGAGGGAGTATGAATAATAAAAAGGACCATGCTATACTTACACAAAAAATATACTTCAAACTTAAACCAAAGATATAAACTAACATTTTGATGATTCACACTGACAAAGTGTTGATGTGTTAACAAAAATTTACATTGACACAAGTGTTGATGCATTAACAAAAACTTACATTGACACAAGTGCTAATGTGTTAACAAAAATTAGCATTACACCAACACAAAATATTGGTGCACACCTGCAGCGTACAAATGAGATACAAACCCTTGGGTAGAAATAGCTTTATCCGAATAAAAATAGGCTTGAGTAATACGATTCCCTTTAAAAATAGGCATATTTCAACTTTCAAAGCCAACATTAAGTGATATTTTTCTGTGTTTATAAATTGATCAATACTATTTATAAGTAATTTTAAATGTATAAGTCAGATGATAACATATTTCTCTATACTTATAAACTGCTTATAAGCCAAAAAATGTAATTAAGCCTTACCCACTTATTTTTAAGCTAATTTTCTTTTTTTAATTTTAATTAGATTATTTACAAAATTATCTCTCATCATTTATATATATTTCCATATCATTTATCTACAAGTATTATTTAAGTCATTTTTACTTCCATGAAAGAATATTTAACTTATAAACAGCTTATAAATTAGACGATGTTTATCAACAATACGTCAATAAACACAGTACAGAGAAACATCCCTAAGATAATAATTCACCATTTCGACAATAATTTTAGCACTCTTGCCAAATAGAGACTTGTAATTCACCGACCCAAAAAAATTAAGGATGAATGCCAACAGCTATCCCTGAGACGCCCAAAAGCGGATATACACTTAGCTGGGAATATGTAAATTCAGTTGTAATGCAAATACGGGACAAGATTTGTCATTTACGAGAGTATCGAAGAGAAGAATGGGATTCGAATGAAACAGACGCATAATCACTCGACAAAGTAAAATGGTAGAGGTGCACATATATGATCCACCAACAAATGCATTCTTCGTAAATTTATTCGTTCTCGCGACCCTATCGATAAATGGCTTTGTGGAAATCGTTCTAAAAGAGCGCAACATTGAACTACACATACATTATTCGTGGCCGAGAGTCTGGTTTTAACCCTTCTTTAATGCCACTGTCCTCGCACGGAGATTCAGAAAGATTCCCCTAGAATCATGGGAAAAGACAAACAGCAGTAATCAAATAAATACCCAAGGGTCCGTTTGGAAATGACGTTTGTAATAGTAGATTTTAGCTAAATGCTAACGCAGATGCCAAACATGCACCAAATGAGTAAATGGATAAAATGGTAATACAAAAAAGTTGCAGAGCATACCAAAAGCAGGCTATAACACTTTGAAAGATGACTCTGAACTGGAGGGGTACATAGAGGTGATTCACCCATCCCACAACTGGCCAGAACTGCATTAATTGATTAATTAATTAATAATAAATATTGATTTTTGGTACATGAAAACAAGTTAAGATCCCAAAGAAAAAGGCAAATTATATCGTGCATCCGGATGTAACTATTTCCATGTAGGTCCAACGAGCAATATGTAACTCCTAAACGTGCTTACAATATTTTTTTATGTGCACACTCTAAATATGTAAAAAAAAAGCTTGCTTTTCTGCAATTTCGTTTTCAAGGTTTCATTTTTACTCTTTAATGGATGGGAATCGTTATTAAAAAAAATTAAAAAAATTCTTTTAGCAGAACAGATCAGTTTAATATTGTGAATGATCTATATAAGTATATACAAATATACCGTCCAAGCTGTATACTGGATTTTCGGGTACTCTCGTGCCACATTCGACTTCACTTGGACCCACGGTCTTCCTGTGAATATTACACAATAAAAAATGAAATAACTTTTGTCAAAACCTCAACTTCTCTACTAGCCAATAAACTTGAGGCATCATTTCAAGAATTAGGCTCTGTTTGGTCTCCTCATGGATTTGTTCGGGCTAGAACAGATGTTACAATGTCACCAAATAGCAACTCTTACCAAACCAAACAGGGCCTAAATGCTTTGAATTCTTTCGCCCATGATGATTTCATCTAGAAAGTATGAATCAGAACATCTGACCAAAAGATTTATGTAATGGGAAAGGATTACAAACTAACTAACCTTCGATAATTAATCCATAATATAGCATGAAAAGCAAGTTGTTCCAAGGTGAAGATGTCACTTGTTCAAGCACCACCTGCAGAAAGAAGCCAACATCGGGAAGTCATCAGGATATTAATAACCCCCACACTATAGTAAGAAAAAAATCATGTCCCACACTGTGCAAAGAAGAGGAGGATGACCTAAATATATACTATATGGTTACCCCCAACCCCATTAGAATGATGCCTTTTGGGAGGTGACAAAAAACAAATCCGTGAGGGCTTTGCCCAAAACGGACAATATCATACTAATGCACGGTTGGGGTGAAGGCACACGCGGTCCCAACAAGATTTTACAATAGTATTCTAAGAGAATTTTTATTTTATATGGATCCCCCAAGTTTTGAGGCGTATCTGAGATAAATATAGAATCTTGGAGTGTTATTATAGAAAAAAAAAGGTTCAGTTAGCGCTGGTGATAATTATAGTCTTAGAGTATTCTTGTAAAATCTCAAATTTCTCAAAGTATTCGCATGATATTTTCATAATAATAATATCCCTCTACTAAGTATCCAACGTCTCTCCTCTTTTCTAGAGAAAGAAGAGGAAGATAAAGTGTGAAAATGACTTGTTTGGTTTAGAAAGAAATAAAAGGTAGCATTGGTTACCTTCTTGGCAACTGTCTTTGGATCCTTTTTGCCCTTGAAAATTTTGTCAAGCAGTAGATGAAGAAAGTGACCAAATGGTCCAAGATATGCAAAGCCAAAAAGCTGAAACTAGCCAAGTTAGAAAGATTAATATACACCATAACTTCAATATAGGTTTTAAACAAAATCCAAGATGCTTTATTAGAACAGGGTCAGTATGTTATCTCGTTTATGAACTGAAAGTTCTTTCTCAAAAGCTTTCGGGCCTTTGTAACATCCGGGAAAAGTAGAAGAGAAAGTGTGCAAAGATGAACTTACAAAGCATTAAAAAAATACTACTAAGAAAAAGGGATCTAAAATTACCACTTTAAGAAGGAGCCGTTTGATTTGAAGTTTTTGAATGCCGGTGATCTTCTGAGCCACTATATCACTTATCGCTGACAGCACTCCCGCAGTTATTGCCTGCAAAAAAAGAGCAATTCCCCATTTCAAAAGATCATTACTAATGCTCTGGAACCAACATACCTGAGTATTTGTGTTTACACTATGTTTGGTTCAAGGAATTTAGAAAGAAAAGAAAATGGTTTTCTCCCATTTTCGTCGCCAAAATGGGAGGAACTTGGTTTTCCCTCCTCCCAGTACCCATTTTGTTTCTCATTTTCTTTTCCTTTAAAACCAAACAAGAAAAATTGTTTTCCATCTCATTTTCTTTTCTCTTCACTTTCAAATTCCTTAAACCAAACATAGTGTTTGTCTTTGTGATGGGAAAGTTTGACCCTTAGAAAATACTCCCTTCATCTCGCAAAAAACCTTCACAATTTCCCTTTTTGTCCGTCCCCCAAAACAAATTACACTTTCTCTTTAAAGAAATGAATGAGTGACTCCCAACTCGTTTTTCTCCTCT